AAGCGTCAACAAATTCGTAAAAACCAGTGTTTTGGCTATTGTTGAAATGTGAATGGGTCATTTTCCCATGAATATGCTGATGAAATATAGACAAAATTATAACTATAGGCAAACTGAGAGCAATCAATATCGGACCTGAATACAAATGCAAGAGAACAGTCAGTCCTGGTAACCATCGAGTACTATGATCACCTTCATAAGCAGCATAAGCGGCATCCCAAGGAATTCCAGATAATGTTGGCTGATGGCCCGTTATAAAAAAAGACAAGTTATCTAGTAAGCAAAGAAATACTGCGAAAATCCATGAGATGTGATTCTGAGGTACATAAAGCAGTAGTGGACCTAAATAAATTATAAAATGAAATACAAAGTTTGTTACTGATGCTAAAAAAAAGTTTAACAAAATCTTATTGATTTTTAAGAAAGTAAGTTTTCAGTATTCACAATTTGTTTCTGAATCAAAACAAGTTGGGCAACACTAAAGTTTGTAGTCCTAGAGTCGTCAGGATAGATATTTATACTTTTTACTAATTACTTTTTATTAATTAATTAATTAGTTGATTTTTGAAGGGACACACTGTAATGACTAACGAGTTGTTATGTCATAGTAACTTGATATAATGACAAGAACAGATTGTAGACGAAACGACAACACATACAATTGATCCCTCAACTGTAGAACTAGGATTACAGTGGGAAAATTACTTATTTACTTACTTACTTACACCTGTTACCTCCAATGGAGCATAGGCCAGCCACCAGTTTTCTCCAGCCAACTCTGTCCTGGGCTTCCCTTTCAAGTTCTGTCCAATTTTTGTTCATTCTTCTCATATCCTTCTCTATTTCTCGGAGTAATGTGTTCCTTGGCCTTCCTCTTTTCTTTTGAACTTGATGGTTCCATGTGAGGACTTGTCTTGTGACGCAGTTCGGCGCTTTTCGCAGTGTGTGTCCTATCCACTTCCACCACTTCTTCCTGATTTCCTCCTCCAAGGCATCTCCATCAAGCGTGATTTGGTTGGTGCATGTTGTGTTGCATCGGAGAATTTCGCTTTTTCCTTTATGTATGTTGAGACCTACTGCTGCTGAGGCTGCTGCTACACTGGTTGCCTTTTCTTGTATTTGTTGTTGCGTGTGAGATAGAAGAGCCAGTGTGAAAATGACTCATCCTAATTGGTACAATCGTGGAATTTAATTAATTAACAAGATTACAGAGATCAAATAAGAGTAAGAATCAATGACTGGAGCACTCAACAATGTTCAATATATATAGTCACTTTTTATTGAAATCATGTTAAGAATTTAAAAGAAAGGTAAATTAAAACTAACGTTAGACGTAGAAGGAACGTTTATTTATCGAATAAGAAAGCGATATGCTTGAATGTCATTACGAGTTCATGTTACTTGATAGACGGAACGAAAGCAATGACTCATTGACAAAATAGGCTATTCCAATCCGTTTGTCCCAACCCCGGCTAACTAGATCAAGAAATCTTGATAAGGAGTAAAGAATGTATTCTACAAGCACCTAGAAAATATGAGGTTGCTAAGCACATAAATCAAGCTTATTTATACAATGATAGAGACACCCTTTAGAGAGCTACCAAATAGAGTACTAAAATAATCCATCACCCAATGAAAGTCAAGGATTTTCCGAGTGGGAAATGTCAGCTGAATGTCAACTAGCTCGAAAACATAAAAATTGAAAATTTCAGAATAAAATTACTAAATGAGGACCTCTCCCGAGTGAGTTTAGGGGGTCTAACGTCCCCAACAGAAAGGAAAACCAAAAAATCAGTACATATCGAAGTTGACGTCGCTCATTTCATGAAATCATCTATTTCTCTCGGTTATTTTGTGATGATACAATTTCTATAGTATCAGCTTTTAGTAGGAAATCCTGTTTCACGTAAACAAATATATGAACCATGATCATCATCTTGATTCAGTGAATGCACATTTTTTCCACATATTCAATCCATTCTGTACGGGAAGATATATACCAGAAGTATCTGATCACATGGAATGTACACTTTTTGAAGATTTCGTTAATCATTTTCCTACAACGTTGAACTTGATACGAACGTACGGAACAATCAAATTGTTATTCATAAATTGAAGTACCGTTACATTATATCGCCTTCTATTGAAATTCTGTATGAACATTAGTCTTCGAAGTTTGGTTAGTAATTACCATAAAAGTACGTATTAATTTTTATTAATATTCTTGTGAGATTCGCTGACCTATGCGCTCTCAACAAACTGATCGTTAGTGGCACCATATTTCCACAAAAATAAGATGGATTTCACCGCACTACACTACACAGAATCGTATCGACCATATCTGCATCTATAAGAAGTTAAGACGGACCATGGAGGACGTGATTACTAAGGAAGGAGCCTATATAATTACATGTCATTACTCCGTGGTACTCAAAATGTAGCTGAAACTAAATAAGCACTGCACAACGAGGCGAACAACATCGCCAAAATCTAGTAAGTTTGTTTCACCAGTCTTCGGTGTTAATATTAGCTAACAGATACACCTTGATATATATTATCATGATCAATAGTAATATGTGACACAAGTGCTCCAAGTTATTCAGTATCTCGCAACATACTACACATTTAATTAAAAAGATTGTCTTACTGGAATATTGATATTTTCTTGCATATTTGTATTTCCGGTGATATTTAATAGTCTTTTGAATATGCTTAGGTATTTATGATTCAGTAACTAACCTTCACGCAGGCGTAAATTTGTTCAAAGCTCATCTGAGTTATTCGTATGATGTATTCTTGTTTACCCAATCAACCAAACGACCGATTATGATCCATAGTAAATTACAATAGGTAGTTATCTAAAGCATTGCAAAATATTTGTTTCCGTTATCTCAATATACATGAACTTTGCTTTGTGATTAGATGCTAGTGTATCGTAATTCGATAGCACTCGATTCTGGTCGGTTACTTTGGCCTTTGGGTGCTTGATGTTCTAAAATCAAGGCCTTATGTAACTAGTTCGGCTGCATCTCTGTTCTTTATTAATTTATTTGATTTGAGTTAGCTAAAATGGTCAACGTAGACCAGGTTTAAGCTTAATTAGATATTTTGCTATTACTATGTGCACTCCAGCATCGACAGATTTATCACTACTGCTTGAACATAAAAGTGAGATGAATTAATTATTGTTGCATAATGGGACGGAATGTCAAGCATCTTACAACTATGCAGTTTTCCACATTTTTTCGTGTTTCAGATCTTATATTTTTGAAATTCATCTCGCATTATTTACCTATGCCTGTTAGCCGTCGTTGAGCATAGGCGGCCGATCACCAAGCTCCAACCTATTCTGTTCGAGACCCATCATTCTAGTTGTTCTTAAGAGCTATTCTTTCTATTGATGTCTGCCTGCCATTCTCCGCCCAATGTGTTTTTATTCTTTCTATTTTCCTTTGGCCTTTGAAGATCCCGAGTTTGGACCTGCCTTATGACGTAGTTTGTTGGTTTCCGAAGTGAGTTTCCCATCCACAGCTAGCGATTTTACCTCTTCAGATAAAACGTGGTTTGCCCTCTGCCACGATAGGGAACTCTTCGATACTGTTCACAACTTTTGTCTTTTTAATTTTACATTTGTGTTGTATGTCTTTTGTATTGGTTATTTTTTAATCTTATTCATAAAATGTTTCTAATGATATTTAACAGATAGTTGTATAGCAGTATACATTCATATTTTGACGAAATAGTCAACAAACAATTTACTTTGACATAATACCCAATTGATAAACCTGTTACCTAATGTTAACTATGAAAATTTGATTCAACATCTTTAGATCTAAAATTTGAAGTGTAAAAAGAAGAACGTTGTAATTGTGTGATGAATAGAATATCATGCCGTTTTCAAGACATTGAAACCTGGTTTCATGCAGAACTAGTACAATGTCTGCCCGAATAAAACGTAATGCTTTGATGAACCACACCTATACCAATCGTGTTTGAGTAATAGCAATAAAAAAAATTTAATTTCAACAGCACAATTAAATAAGACATACGGTATATATATATATATATAGTAGGCAGAAATCAAGAAGTAATCACGAATGCACAATAAATGAACTCAATAAAATATATATTTTAGGCATAGCTTACAAATGCTTAAACGTGTCCTTAAGATGAGGTCTATAACGCAATAAATGTGTGTATGCGTATATATATATATATATATATATATATATATACATATATATATATATATATATATATATATGTATAGATATGTTTGTGGGTGTGTGTAAATGTCATTATCCTGTGTGCTACTAATACAATTAGAATTTGTCTAAATTACATATAAAACTACATAGCACACAATCAATTCTGATTCGTTATTTCAATGATGTTTTTTCTTTCTTTTTAATACGGTGAGTAAAAATTAACACAAAAGATGATAAAAAAAAATAAAAAATATAAAATAAAATTATTCATCACAATTAAGTATGACTTACTTTCAAATGGTTGTAATGATGCCAATAGCGTGTCTGTATTCGTCAATTATGAGTTGTGTAATATGTGTATACCTTATGTGTTATGAGTACTGAATTAGGCATAACATATATATGTAATATGTTTGTTGGTTGAATTCATCAAATTTATTTAAATTATAACTGGATTATGCATTAGAAACACTACGATTGCAGGTATTAATAATCAGATTACTAAACGAAGAATATCATAGACAAATCTAGTCATAGTGACCATTGAAACTGGTGTTTTTACGGTGTAGAAAAAGCTTTAGTCAATTTACGTATATTGATTGATTTTATGCAAGATATTCATTTGCACTATACACGCACGCACGCACACACACACACACACGTGTTGAATCGTCCCGTTCCAACTAATTTGATGAATAGAACAAACAAAATTTACGCATTCATTTCATATTTGACAAAGTGATTACTTCGATTCAAACCAAAAAAAAAGTAAAGAATCCGATCCAATTTCAAATGGGCAATACAAGCAATATATTATGTGAATTATTTTGCAAACATTTGAATGATGCTAACAAACACTCCATATCGAATAAGTTAATTAATGAAGAATTCATTTCAACATTCAATTTATCAACACAACTAATCACTGATTACAATCAAATGCAACAAGCTACAAGTAAAGTGTTTCTTGTTTAATCATTTTCAAAATTAGACATTTACATTGGATGTAAGAAAAAAATCATTACGTTTTAGCATTTTAATCAAATATACTCATTCCATTGGTTATTGAATAGTTAGATATCTAGAGAAAATTACAATTTTCTTCATTTAAGTTGTAATACAATACTGATGATTAAGTGGTTATTATTATTATTATTATTATTATTATTTTATAATAAGCAAGTAATTAATTAAACGCCTGATATTTGAAATAGATAAATTAACTCTTTTCTGGAACAATTGATGTAGAACAGTCTATATATATATATATATATATATATATATATATATATATATATATATATATATATATATATATATATATATATAGTTTTACAACTCTTCACATAGTCTCATTATTTCAGAGTAAGAATAAAATGTACTAAAATATTAAGTGATAGTTGAAAATTTTTCTACGACTCAAGCTACTTATTGTTAGTACAATGAATTCATCTAGTCATTCATTCATTTGATGTCATTCGATTTGTACAAAAACGTTAACTGAACCTTAATGCATATAGTTGGTATGTGAAGATAATTTTTAGCATAAGTTTAAAAGTATGTAAACAATGAAAATAGAATGAAATTGTCTGACATGTATCGTTCTAGTTGAAAAGTATTTTTATTCGTATTGAATAATTATGATTAGTTATTCTGCTAAATGATCATATCTACAATCCTGATATAAAATTTCTCTTCTTCACTTAGTGTTCAATTCCTTGTGTCAATCATTATTATCGATAAATTTCATGGATTTGAATCAGATGAATTCAGAAACTTTGAATAAATTTTTAAATTTTTTACAAACCACTCAATCATCGTTTACTTGTTTAAATGATAAGCCATGTATTCAACTTTTATTGTATTATATTAATACAATTCAAATGTATCAAGATTATTTGAACAAAACTATGAATAATAACTACAATAATAGTTGTAATTTAGAACAAGCTGAAGATTTACGTGTTGCTGTGAACAAGGAGGATCTTACTTCTCTGTCAAATGAATTATTAGGATTGTCATCATCATCATCATCATCATCGTCATCCTCATCCTCATCACCTACATCATTGCTTTCAGTGCCATCAATGAAATCCTCTTCAAAATTAGATTGTGAATATTCGAAAAAATCAAATATCATGGATTTTCAAAACAATCTAAGCGGATTTGAATCGCATTCAGTAAAAATGAATTTAATTGATGAAATCAAATATCCTTCGATTAATTTCACATTAATGAATTCATTTCCATTGACTCATTATCATACAATGGATTATTGTCTACAACAAAACTCAAAAAATGCTCAACTCACTTCGAATCATATTCCTACATTTGATGAATTATCTTATAATACAAGTTCACAAAGCACAACAATGAACAGTAACCATTATAATACGTCTAATCATGAGTATATTCAGAATTTGCATGAATTTAACAAATGTCAAAATGTGAATTGCACAAACAGTAATCAAACTGATGATTTTCAAATTTCAAAATGTCCGAATGACAAAACTTTCATAAATATGATGCATAATAAAATTGCATCTAATAAATGCATGAGATCATCTAAATGCTCATCTACAGGTAGAATTCATTCTTATTTGATCATTTCTTATTTAAACATTTTTACAAATAACACTTCACACCAGATCATCAACATCATCACAATCAAGAGGATTGCATCAATTTCAGTTATTCCGTTTCACTTCAATAAATACCAACAAATAATTTCAGATTTCATTTAACTGCATATATAGGATGAATAATTTCACAAGTTTAAAAAGGAATGAAGTAAAAAAGGAATTTTTAGGTTTTTTTTGTGGACTTACTCACTACTTACTAACTTACTTAATATTTACGCCAGTGTATTTACGGAATCAATAAGTTTATAAATATTTCGATTTAGTTTGTTCTTTTGCATAATCTCAAAAAGACCCCGACCTAATGAGGTGCAAGATAACAAACAAAACAGATAGTATGTTTAAACCTCTTCATTTGAACTAGCTGATTTCGTTGCATCATTAAAATATTAGTTGGAAAATTGATTCGGTGATCCTAAGATATTGTAAACGTTTTCTTCTTGGCTGACTATATAAAAATCAAGTAAAGAACTTATTTGTAATAGCCCAAAAAAATCCTATATTGACTCTATGGTCTACTGAATAATTAACGCTAAAGGCATCATGAGAGTACTTACTTACTTACTTACTTACTTACTTACTTACTTACTTACTTACTTACTTACTTACTTACTTACTTACTTACTTACTTACTTACTTACTTACTTACTTACTTACTTACTTACTTACTTACTTACTTACTTACTTACTTACTTACTTACTTACTTACTTACTTACTTACTTACTTACTTACTTACTTACTTACTTACTTACTTACTTACTTACTTACTTACTTACTTACTTACTTACTTACTTACTTACTTACTTACTTACTTACTTACTTACTTACTTACTTACTTACTTACTTACTTACTTACTTACTTACTTACTTACTTACTTACTTACTTACTTACTTACTTACTTACTTACTTACTTACTTACTTACTTACTTACTTACTTACTTACTTACTTACTTACTTACTTACTTACTTACTACTTACTTACTTACTTACTTACTTACTTACTTACTTACTTACTTACTTACTTACTTACTTACTTACTTACTTACTTACTTACTTACTTACTTACTTACTTACTTACTTACTTACTTACTTACTTACTTACTTACTTACTTACTTACTTACTTACTTACTTACTTACTTACTTACTTACTTACTTACTTACTTACTTACTTACTTACTTACTTACTTACTTACTTACTTACTTACTTACTTACTTACTTACTTACTTACTTACTTACTTACTTACACCTGTTACCCCCAATGGAGCATAGGCCAGCCACCAGTTTTCTCCAACCAACTCTGTCCTGGGCTTCCCTCTGCAGTTCTGTCCAATTTTTGTTCATTCTTCTCATATCCTTCTCTATTTCTCGGAGTAATGTGTTCCTTGGCCTTCCTCTTTTCTTTTGAACTTGATGGTTCCATGTGAGGGCTTGTCTTGTGACGCAGTTCGGCGCTTTTCGCAGTGTGTGTCCTATCCACTTCCACCACTTCTTCCTGATTTCCTCCTCCACTGGAATCTGGTTTGTTCTCTCCCACAGTACGTTGTTGCTGATCGTGTCTGCCAACGAGTACGAAGTATTTTGCGTAGACAACTGTGAATAAACACTTGCATCTTCTGGATGATGGATTTCGTAGTTCTCCATGTTTCCGCTCCATACAGTACAACTGTCTTGACATTTGTATTGTAAATCCTGATTTTGGTTTTGGTTGAAAGTTGTTTGGAGTTCCAGATATTTTTCAACTGTAGACATGCAGCCCAACCTTTGCAAATCCGCACCCTCACATCTGCATCGGATCCACCTCGGTTGTCAACGATGCCGTCCAGATATGTAAACGTGTTAACGTCCTCCAAGGCATCTCCATCAAGAGTTAGTTTCCCCTTTTTTTGTCGTTCAATAAATGAGACTTCTTGTAATATCGAATTTTAGTTTTCAGCACCAGCTCGATACAGTGGTTCATTAAATTAAGCTATTTGATATTATGGTATCAGAATAATATATTATGAGACGATACTTTCAACTCCATGATTTATACTTGTTATCAATTATCCAACTGGCAATGTATATCCCCAATTACATAAATCAGCCTATAATATAACAGTCATTAAATGAATGATTTTGAGATATTGAAGGTAGAAAAATCTTTTCCATAAGATATAAAGTTTAATGAAACAAAATAATTGAACTACCCAGGTTACAGATCGAAACCACACCAGAAAAAAAATATCGATTTCAGACCAATAGTATTGTAGATACGTTTAATCTTCTCAGTGAATAATTACCGAACAAATTCAATTTCCAAATGTATGAATTTTTTTACGGAATGATATCAAGTTCATGGGTTGTAAACAATAACTACTTTTTCATTTGTTTAACAAATTGTACAATATTCAATTGATAGATTCCAGTCAGACTGTATTACTATGCTTTTTCTATTAAATTTGACTGTGAAACATATTTTGAGAAGAAAAAATAATAAAACTACAGTAATGTATTTCCGATTATTTGTTAGTGATAATCTTGTGATGTGTATCTATGAAATAGTATATAACTAATACATGTAAAATCTGTAGCCTAAACCAATGAGAGTAAAGAATAAAAAAAGAAAATGAATTATGAAAGATTCCATGTAACGGAATTGTAGTGATTTATGCATAAAAAAAAACTTATTCCAAGCCTTAATTATTTTCATGACAATTATTAATAATTTTTTGATTATTGCATAATTTTAATATTTACTAGCATAGATTGTGTTATTTGCTACAGCATTATCCATTTAAATCACACTTCCATGAATAATTAATTTTCATGAATGAACTTTACACAACACTGATAATTATTCATTGGAATTGATTACTTACTTACTTACTTTTGCCTGTTACTCTGTATGGAGCATAGGCCTCTGTCCAACGAATTATTGTTTCTGGTTAGGGTTTTTTAGGGAGTTAGATTTCTATGGCATAAAGTCTCTAGCCCCGTTCCTCGTCATTACTTCTCTCTTTTATACAGGCTTGGAACTGGTAGTAACCGCAGAAAGGTTCCATGTGGAGTTCATTGGAATTTATCTATCTCATATATTCAGCATTGTCTTGATTGTATACAATAGAAAGGCAAAATGTTTCTGAATAAATTTTAAATGATTTTATAATCTCACAATCTGTCACATTTTATTATTCTTGTTTGATAATAACAATTTGATAGAGAAAATAATTGTAAGTAGAAAAGTACTCAACAAGACATTTAGGAAAAAAAAAGGAATATTCTATCGGTTATAAGTAGTTCTTAATTGTACAGTATTGTTGATTACATATCTACTATATTTTGATAATAGAGAAATAAGTTTGTAGATTGCATTGGAAAATAACAATTGAAGTATGCAATGTTTTGTTTTGCAAATTCTTAGTTCGTTACTCTCTCTCTGTAAATCCATTGTTATCGGTCACTATTTCGGTATTAGCCTATAATTTTCATTATGTTTGATTTTGAAATTTTTTATTCTTGTTAATTTGATAAGTAAGCGCGCTTTAATGTTTCTAGAAAATAATTTAGTACGGTTGTTTTGATTCATAGAATGAATAATAATAATTCAACAATTTAATTTAGTCGGATAAATAATAATAATAATAATAAATAATATTGCAGTTAAGTGATGAATAATGAAGAATGATGGATGACAGAATGAACACAGAACACACACTGGTTATTGAATTTCAAATTGGCATAAAAATTAAAAGCATTCATAACATTGAAGGATTAACATATTAATGTAAAGAGATCAATAAATGAAAAGATATATATATATATATATATATATATATATATATATATATATATATATATATATATATATATATTATTTGATAATTATGAACACTTCAGATAAACAAGCTAATTTTTAATAATTTCAAGTCTATAAATCACAAAATCAATTTCACATAAAGTCCTTATATGTACTGGTTAATTATAATTCTAGGCTAAATATTTGATGGCATTAGAAGCTAATTTATCAAAATGAATCCTCAATGAAGTAAATCTCATTCTAGTCGCTTGAAGGATGATATCTAACTAGTTCAGTTAGAAAATTTCAAGTCAATTTATTGAAAAGGAAAAAAAAAAATTACTCATGTCAGTTGATTGAATGCAAAGAAAAACTGATATTCATCATTCATATTTCTAATTAACATTCAGTCGACAAAAAAAAAGAGAAAACAATTTTCATTGAATTTAAACCAATTAATTTTGAATCAGTAAACTATGAAACTTTAAGTTATAAATAGAAAATAGAAAATTTTTATCTTTCAGACAATTGAAAAAGATTACAATGAATTATTAGCAAGTCATTTTTATCGTAGCTTAGTAGTTTAATGTAAACTACTGAATTTCACATGAGTATCATAAAACGATATCGAAATCGAGTGTATTATACAGTTGGTTATTATTCATCCTTGATGAGCGAACCTAACCCCTTAAACCGGCAAGCTAAATTAGGTCTTTTTTCAAAGACAATGGATAAAAATAAAATTATTCAAATCTCTCATACATGATCATATCCAATCAATAACTCTCTATCTGACCTCAAAAAAACACACTTCTCATTGTAATTCAAACAATTACTTTGAATGGAAACATTTTAATGCAGATGTTTCATTTCCAACCGAAAAGCTACCGTGTTAGAAGTTAAACAATTTCTTTATAAATCAATATCAGGGTAGGTCTAATTTAACAAAAGATTTTAGAAGCTTAAAAATAGTAACTAATATCACCGTATAATGAAACAACAACAACCACACCACACCATAGGAGCTGAATGAAACTTTGCTCATACGTGAACTCCAACAGCACAGACCATTTGTGTTCCTTTAGAAAATATTAAGCTACTTTCAAAATATTGTCTCAGATAAATCATCTCATATTTTATTGACGTTATACATTCCATTGACTTATTCTGCTTTTGGGTGATTTTTAAAATATTGATGTTACGTTATTATTAACTAGTCTTTTGCAAATGAAGTCACTTATTACTAGAAAGGCAGTCATCACTCATGTTTTCAGTGTTATATACTTCCCTTAAAAGTTTCAGCTGTTGAAATCAAATGATGAAGACAGAAACTATTTCTGGCAATGTTCAGAGTCTTTTTCACAGTTCTGTAAACTTTTAAACACTTGAAAATTAGGACGATTTGATTACAGTAAAATAATTTAGATTTCTTGTGTGATCTACGCTTCACTACTTTTGCAAAGTGTGCTGTTTCCTGTTTAGATGAAACTTTGCTCATACTGAAATATTCATCCTGTCATCAAAACTCTAGATAATAAATTATATTGAGCATTTTATTCACACCATGATTACGCGGCGAGAATTGAGATCCTAAAGTATTAAATTTTCATGTTGTTACCACAATGCATACTGACTTGCAGAAAACTAATTCTACCTATGAGTTATAGAAATAATGATTGTGATTACCTTTGGTGACAGGCATATTTTTAATTCAGTAGGTATGATTAGAGTGAATACCAGTTAGAAATTGTCTTGTTTTTGAGAATGAAAACTGTTATTCCATGTCAGTAAACTATAACACTCTACACTGTAGATTTTAGAAAGTTACAAATATTGCTGCCTTCTACAAAACCAGCAAAAATAAATGTACATGGATATGTTTTTGTCATTGAGGTAATTGAATTTTCGGATTGTATAAATGATACTGTGTTATCGAAGAAATGGGGCTTAAAGTGAATACTGTTTAAGAAATCTTAAACATTAAGCCTCATTATTTATAATATATACAGACATAGACACATGACATGGATTTACTTACGATATATTTCTTTTTTTTCATAATCTACAGATTATAAACTTCCGTCGGCATCAATTCATTGTTACACAAATCTAAGGCAAGATAATAATAACTTAGATATTCTTGTATCTTCAGATTCTTCTTCTGCTACAAGTTCATCACTATTGTCTTCATGTTTCTCCCTTTCACCATGTTTATCATCATCCTCGTCATCCTCGTCATCATCTGCAGCTTCATCGCCGACAAGTTTATTTCCAATGCATAACAAACTATTCAATTTAAAATCTCGTTCTTTTTCACCGAAACAATCTCCTTTTAAATTATCACAATTTTTATACTATCTACTCAATAAATCTGAATATAATCCACATTTAATTTGTTGGGTAGACAAATCACAAAATATGTTTAAATTAGTCAATAGTGCCGCAGTCGCTCATTTATGGGGCTTGCACAAGCACAAACCAAATATGAATTATGAAACAATGGGAAGAGCTCTTAGGTAAGTAGGACAGACTTAACTAAATTTAATGATTCATTTAATTTTATTTTAAATTAATTGTTAAGAGCTTGTCAATTTATGAAAATGACAGTCAGATTTTATTAGTTTTATGTAAACAGGTCTCATTATGACCATGAGTAATAGAAGTTCGCATCAATCAAGGATTCAAAGGTTTTTGTTAGATTCCAGGCATGTCATGATAATGAACGTTGATGTATTCTGTTGTGATCGACTACCATCAAGGTAAAATGTGTCGAAATATTCAATAAATAATTCATGTAAATTATTTCCAATTATCATTTAATACCCAAAGATATGTTTAGACTAATTAGCTTTTATTTCAGTTTAGTTCTACTTTTAAGTATCGTCTCATAATATATTATTCTGATACCATAATATCAAATAGCTTAATTTAATGAACCACTGTATCGAGCTGGTGCTGAAAACTAAAATTCGATATTACAAGAAGTCTCATTTATTGAACGACAAAAAAAGGGGAAACTAACTCTTGATGGAGATGCCTTGGAGGACGTTAACACGTTTACATATCTGGACGGCATCGTTGACAACCGAGGTGGATCCGATGCAGATGTGAGGGTGCGGATTTGCAAAGGTTGGGCTGCATGTCTACAGTTGAAAAATATCTGGAACTCCAAACAACTTTCAACCAAAACCAAAATCAGGATTTACAATACAAATGTCAAGACAGTTCTACTGTATGGAGCGGAAACCTGGAGAACTACGAAAGCCATCATCCAGAAGATACAAGTGTTTATTCACAGTTCTCTACGCAAAATACTTCGTACTCGTTGGACAGACACGATCAGCAACAACGTACTGTGGGAGAGAACAAACCAGATTCCAGTGGAGGAGGAAATCAGGAAGAAGTGGTGGAAGTGGATAGGACACACACTGCGAAAAGCGCCGAACTGCGTCACAAGACAAGCCCTCACATGGAACCATCAAGTTCAAAAGAAAAGAGGAAGGCCAAGGAACACATTACTCCGAGAAATAGAGAAGGATATGAGAAGAATGAACAAAAATTGGACAGAACTGCAGAGGGAAGCCCAGGACAGAGTTGGTTGGAGAAAACTGGTGGCTGGCCTATGCTCCATTGGGGGTAACAGGTGTAAGTAAGTAAGTAAGTAAGTAAGTAAGTAAGTAAGTAAGTAAGTAAGTAAGTAAGTAAGTAAGTAAGTAAGTAAGTAAATAAGTAAGTAAGTAAGTAAGTAAGTAAGTAAGTAATAAATTTCGATTACCCTTTTATATGAAATACCTCGCGAGAATATTTAAAATTTAATTTTACTGCCGAGTTCGTCAGTTGATCTGATTGTAACTATTCCGAGCTCACCTTAATCAGCAACAAGAGCGAGACAGTGATCCAATAACACGATAGGCTACTCTAATTCGTTGCCCAGTCTAAGGGAAGAAGAAGTCTTGATATGGCTTAAAAAGTGTATTCTATAATCACCCAGAAAATATGATGTTCTCAAGCACAGAAATCGAGTTTATTTATACATCACAGAAAAGTCCTTGGGAGAGCAACAAAAATAGCGTACTAAAACAATACACCAACCAATGACAGTCAAGGACTTTGCTGGTGGGAAATGTCATCTCAAGATCAACTGATCGGCCCATGAATAAAATCCGAAATTCAGACCTTTATCAAGGGAGTTCTGGGGATCTAACATCCCCAACAAATTTATCCACAAGCTGGTTTCAGTTTTATCAATAGTTAATCAGTTTCGAAAGTATTCAAGTTTCATTCAAAGTCGAAACTTCTAATGTTCCAGCGAGATCTTGGTTTGTGGTTTATAACCAATGAATTAAACAGTGTTATATTTAGATGAATAAATAACTATATAATGAGTAAAATAAAAAAAGGCCGATGTAAAACTTATTGTCATTTTGACAATTTTTCTTTTATATGATATTTTGTTTAGGTACTATTATGCACAGAATATTTTACGAAAAGTTAAAGGACAACGTTTAGTCTATCAGTTCTTGGAGGACTTTCATAAACCTCGACATCCTTCTACTATGTCTTCTGAATTAATGACAACCACAGTCACAACTACCACTAAATCAATAACAAAGATGATACCAACGTCCAAAACAATAACAAACAAAACCACCTCAATGATACTACAATGCCCAGAAGGAAATTCACAAACTGGAACAATTGCACTTAATTAGTGTCCCTTATGACAATTATATAATTTTGTCACATGTATTTTGTGAAAAAATTTGTGTTCCTTATCTATCAAAACTTAGGCATTTTGATTTAACCAAAACTATTTCTATCACTATTTCATTCTACTGACAGTATATATATGATGAGTTCAAATAACAATGATAATTTCCAAGGTAAAAATGGCCACTTGGTCATTGGTTTGTTCTTGTCAGTGTTTTCGCTCATTCTGTTCTTTTACTGTAAATGTGCTTATGATTGCACTTAAAAATATACTATATTAAATAACACAATATTAATTCTTAAAGTAAAATCTAATCCTATAAATTAATATCTTTTGATACCCATCAGATACTGATCAATATTCTGAATAATAAGAACAAAATTAAAACAAGCATCATTTTCACTTGATTAAATAGTCAAGTGAAAAATACAAATACAAAGTATCAGTAAGCAGTGATTAGTAATATACCATGAATAATGAAAAAAATGTGATTGATCAAATTGTGAACCGATAAGACACAGAGCTTACTAACGGGTGAATTTGTGTTTTCGTTTCTAAAGCTGATTTTCATTCTGGACTCAGTGAGTGTAGAATACATTTTATTGATTGCCCTGTATTGTCTAGCTACTGTATTCATTTTAAAACTATCCCATTGTTGATAGTTAAGACTGAATTTTGATCGTTTTTTTCCTGGCATATCTCCACATAGTCATTATATCACAAATTTCATATTTACTAGGTTGGTTGTGGCTAACACTGGAATCTAGGACGAACTTCTCTCTCCCATCTTAGACTTGTCAGTTACATCAAAGTGTTTAATGTTTGTCTTGTCAATTTCATAAATTTCTATGATTGTCTGTTAGTATATGATGTTCTTATGTTCAAGAGAAGTAGCTCAGATTTTATTATTTTAAAGTATCGAATTGAATCGTCGACTTGTTCACTTTTCAACAATAAATATTCATTTTGATCAGTGCTAAAGAAATTTCTGACAAGGAAGATGATTTATTTTAAGAAGTCAAATTAATTATGAGTTCTTGTTGTGTTGATTTTTGAAAATTTTTTTGATATCTTTCGGATAATTAAGTACACGATATGCTATCAAAATGAATAACTCGATGGCTAAATTTAAAATTGACAAACAAGCACAACTCTTGTTGTTTCAGTTCAAGTCAATGTTTGTTTGTGCTTATTAATCGATACTATCAGAACTAGAAATATTCATACTATTTACAAAAGTATAAAACTTTATTATGAATTATTGCAGTTGAACTGATCTACTTAAAACCTAATATCGATATCAATTAATGTTGCCTCATCTCGTCAACATAGCATATTAATATGCTGCTAAATTTATACTTTATTTTTAATCGTAAAAAAGAAAACAGTGAATCAAAGTTCTAATGACTTTGCTTAAGAAAAGTTTGTGTTCGGAGTTCTATAAATGACTTCAAGAAAAGACTATAATGGTTAGACATAACGAGAGCATATTCTAAGGTAAAATACTTTTATACCTCATACATGTATATATGATGATGATGATGACGATTTGATTGGTAAGTTACATGCTACTAGGTTGCTCTTAGTCTTCTCATTCACGTACAGAAAGTAGTTATATCTGTTAATAGTTGGATGAAGTCAAAAAGTGATAGTATTTGTATTTCATGTAAATTGTCTTATCAAATTATATATATTCAATGGGAATTATCTATGTGCTATTATTCTTCGTTGCTGGCACAATATAACTTTATAAGTTTGGAAATATTCATATAAACTCATCACGTACCATATTAAAGGTGAGTTTTAATATTTTCATATTTCTTATGTAGACATTCAGTTTTTAACAATTTCAATTCTCCAGGAAAACTCTTGACAATAGAGGGTTAACTGATATAATTGTGAAGTAATTACATCAAATAAAATAATTCTTATCATGAACATGTAACAGATGTACAACATAAATGAATAGTAAACATATTTCAATGACCCTCTTAAGAAGGACTTTTTGAAGGGCTCTAGGACAACATCAAATAGTTTAATTCAACGTGAATGATATTTGCTATTCTCACAAACTAAATATCTGATGTTTTTGGGAGTTGTAAGTAACTATTTGTTAAGATGTCCATCAAATATCCAAAGAGAATTATTTTTGGAAGTCTAATTCTATTGGTCAATTACTACTGGTCTATATTATGGTCATCCTAGATATCAATGTTGCGTAATTCAATGTTGTTTCCCATTGGTCGTCCTAACTGTCAATGTCACAGACTTCAATGCTATTTCCTACTCGACCTAGCTGTATGAATATGCATTATCTGCGATGTTTTATGACCCAGACCCGGATCTCTAGTTCGGGATCCTGATTCTCTTCTGGACTCGGACATGGTAATTTCTGGATGCTTGTAGAACATATTTTCTACTTCATATCAAGTCTTCTTCTCCTACTCAATGGAGAGGGTTGAAACAATCGGATTAGAGTAGGCTGTCGTGTCACCGGTTCCTCTCTCTCATTTTCCGACTAAGATAAACTCTTAGTAGTTCAAGCATATCAAATGACGCGTTTACGTGCATACGTAACACTATTCAAATAAATATTATGAATAATAAGTGTCAAGATAGAGCAAAGGCTAAAACCAATGAATTTTATCTTATTTTCTGTTAATAACTTTACATCGACCACATAACTGTGCTATGTCTTAAGAAGCATATCAATCAGTGTATCTTGAACAAATGAACGGGCTAGCATAGTTTTACTAGAATTGATTTTCGGTGGTGATTTGTGAACAGATAATTTGTGATTCTAATTGCCTTCTTTTTACATAAACATATCGAAGCATCCGTCAAACAAATTCTGTGTTACTATTCATGTAACGTTTTGGTTTCTTTTTACTTAAACGCTTCTATTAATTTTCAATGAATTTTTCTTCACGTTAAGTTGAGAAAATGAATTTGTCAATAATCGCTGCTTCTATCCAATAAGGAACTGATAATCAATTCTTCAAATTTGAATTAGTCACCAAGATAACTCACCTTATTAATTCAAATATAATCGTTTGTTAAGAATCACGAAAAAGGATTATTAGCTGTACAAGATAGGCTATTCTGTCTGAATCGATAAGTATTACTTTGAGATCATTTACATTATACAGGTTTTTTTTTTCTAGAGAAATGTTAACAACTGTTTATTGTTAATAGAAATCTTTTACAATTTACTAAAACTTTTGATTGAAAAATGATCTAATCTTACTCTTCGTTTATTCTCTTAGTGTTCTCCGAGAAAAATGACTTCAATTCGATGAACACAATGATAATTTAACATAAAATTCTGAAGCAATCAATGGAGAATTGATTGTTACTGAGATGACAAGTAAAAATCTTAAAATCAACTAATATTTACAATTTCAATTCACAAGTTACTTCACATAATGCGTGTTTTAATAGATAAACCAGAAATGCAATATATATATATATATATATTATACATTCAAATTGATATGAACATTTTAAACTGGAAACACTGTTTAATTCATATTGAATGCGAAAAACAAACAAACAAACAAATTGATATAGATTATGTGAAATGATTATCAAGTGAAAACTTCATAAAAATACATACATATGGGATTAATTTTGGTTACTATTATTTCTTTAATTCTGAATTCATTTACGTGTGTAAATGTAAAACTGTTTGACAAATGATTTATGTGTCATACGGTAAAAAGTGAAATCAATTGTCACTTTATTATTGAAATGCATACCAATGTTAAAGATGCGTACATACCTGTGTATGCAACCTTGAATACACACTGTCTCCAAAACTCTAAGATGTTATTTTTTTTTATTTTTTAAATGAAACAAAATCCTAATCCTAATCATAATATGAAGCGGATACTTAAAAATACTAACAGTTAACTCTTTAAAATTTGATTTGTGTTTTTGATTTTGATATATGCTTTTTATCTCATCATCTCATCATCAACATCATCATCATCATTAAAATGTAAAAAATGTATATATACATATATATATATATGATAGATTTCAAATTGTATGAAAAATGACGCCAAAAAACTTAAAATGTTTACGACAGCAGGACAAAAACGTTCAACATTGTTTAAGCTAAAGAAATATTATTTCATTATTTTAGACATATATTACGTATGACATACTAAGAAATTCAAAGTCTCGGTGTATATTGTTTATTTTAAAGGATATTCGAACTGCAGACAATTGATATAGATTAGATTTGAAAGATGTAAATATCTCATGATTAACAAGTTCTTCGCTTATCTGGTTCATTTGAAATAGATCAGTATATCATAACATATGCAAGAATTGTGTAGAAGATTTAGAAGTGATTGAATAAATTCACTATTAGTTCGAATGTTTGTGAAATTTCTCTGTACAGATTGCACATTGTTGTTTCGGAAAGTGACAGTGTTGGACATTGTGAGACAATTGGTTTATATGGTTGTAGTGTGCTGTAGAATCAAGGGACAGCTAGTTCATTGGATGTTATTTATCGTTTAGTATTGTTTTGATAATTGTTCGACCTTGAGAAACTTGTTCAAAGTTCCAGGGATCTGGTTGTTAATATTTTTGATTTAATTTGTGCCTACAGGTTCTCGTACTTTCTCACTGAACTAAATTGTGAATAAATCCGATCGTAACAATCTCAAAAACGATAAAAGATGATTTGTTCTGCAAGTTATAAAATTACCAAACCCTATTTCTAGTGTTATGAATTGTGCTAAAATTCGATTAGCGGCTCCGAAACTGGGTTCGGGCCCCGAAGTGATCATTGACGCTGATATTTACACGCACTTATCCTATTACAGTCTGAGTGAAGAATTCATCAGATATCTCAGTTAAAATCATTGGGATTATCAAATGTATTTGGATATTTATTGATCTTAAGATCAAATTCAAATGCTACGTAATTTCCATTTTATTGTCTTGACTGGATCACAGGCTTAACAATGATTTGATCAACCATTTCAT